TACCTTTTTTATGAATAAAGGTGTAGGTAAGTAAGTGTTCAATGTAGTTCTTGTGAAACAAAAAGTTTAAAATGTCTTTATGATAGAAGTACACTATAATGTGTACTCACCTAAGACCTTCGCTTATTTTCTCCACTCCATTAGGCGCTACCTAAGCGTAATAGGAAACCGGAGGCTATAATATCCTTGGTTACCCTTAGACATTTTACTCCCAATCTAGTCCCAAACTAATCAATTGTGCTATGAGCACTAGATAACTAACTTAAACATATTAAATGCAAAGAGTGCTTTTACACGTCCTTATGTGAAATATTTTGGGACAACAATGTGGGCCAGTTATGAGATTAAGCAGCGCAAGAAATTCAGTCACTATAAGTTTAGCACATAAGTAAAACTGAGTCATTGCTTGAGGTATGAGGGCGGTACGGGATTGTGATTTTCTGACATCAAACGTCAGCGAGACTTCAAATGTGCTTCAGCCCCCCTAGACAAAACGCACTTTTTGATCGAATCGAAAATCGAATCCGTCAAAACTCCATACAAAAAAGGGGCTTTTCGACCACTTTGCGACTGGTTTACGATTATAATTTGCACTTTGTCTAGACCCACAGATTGGTATGTTCTGTCACTTCATAAAATGTCAATACCACATTTCCTGTACCACCCTCATACCTCAAGCAATGATTCAGTTAAGCGCTTGACCTACAGTACAAATACGTTACATAGAAACACATAAATATGGTCATGGATTATACCTATTCTAATCTAATAATAAAAAATGTATCTGAGGTTGCGCAGCCCCTAAGTAGCTACGTAGCTGCTAACGAAAGAAACTCAAACAAAGGGAGTCTTGCCCTTGATAATTCCGTACAAAGTTTCCCCCGGGGATTATTGTTAATATTTTTTATCATTCGGGTTTTGTATATTATGTATAAATGGAGATTTGTGCTTGTGTAAAAGATGAGACCGCTTTATGTGATGACCTTGATATTGTTTGAGGACACTCCAGTTGTCTACAAAAATACTCGTACTTAGTCATTGGGAAGTTCTGCGAACTGTTATGTCATCATCGTGATCATCAATGGACTCTCTGTTTGCTTAGCCTTGGCGCAGACAAAAGTCCGCTTTTAGATGGCCGATAGTTGGGTCGGGCTGTTAATCAGTATGGAGATGTATGAAAGTGCGTACATTACACCGATTGAAAGTTGGTGATCTGCGCCTAGGCTTAATCGATAAGCCAACCACCGAAAATCGCTGTTCTGATACGTCACGACGCCACACGTCAGAAAACACAACCGATTTTAATAATGACCTTAAAAATTGAACTTAACAATTTGTAAAACTATTACTACCTACTTCTAACGTCAGACAAAAAATATAAATACAGCTTTAGTACCGTAATCGGCAAGGCAAAAGTCTTTGCGGACCCAATTTGCTTGTGAAGTTAGCAGCAAGAGGTCACTGCACTTAATCACGGCATCATCCATTTGCGCCCAAACAGTGTCGACCCCGAAACAAAGGCCAGTCCACTGGAATGTAAAAAAATAAGCCGCGCCCGTTTTACAATTAATCCTTATTACAAGGGACAAACGACGTTTCTTTTCCGTTAGGATGGCCATGAAGTCTGTTTAGAGGGAACATTTAGCGCCTTTTTTCTGGTGTTGCGGATTGCGGCACGCGTGCGGATCTGTGACATAATTTACGTATCAAAACTTCAACGATATGCAAGCGATTTGTCACTTTTCGTATTCACGTACCTATTAATCGCCCGATTTTGTTTCGATTTCGTTTTTATCCATAATCGACAGTGCCTCCGCGGTATTCACCTATTACTTATTTTGAAGTTTGGTGCCAGTGATTAAACGTCAAGTGACAAATCGCTGAGTTGCGATCCTATAGAGTAATCGTTCTATCGAAATAACACGTCAATTCAATACGGATGGACTGTTTTTCAATAGGACGACTTCTAAACGTCAACGATATTTTGACTGTTTCAAAATACGTGAATTAGGCCACTGGTCTCTCTAATATGTAGCGTGTATACCTACAAGGTGACTATTAAATCGTCGTTGGCATCTTTTTAAACTAAGACTACTCATGGTATACAGGGTGTTAGGTAAATGGGTATATGAGCCGACACTAGCCCATGTTAACATGGGCATATAAATGGTATGGTGAAGTCTTGATATCATCATTTATTTTTTTTTAATTTTCATACAAAATAAATTTCATAAAATCCCATTTGTTTGAAAATTAAAATAATTAAAATGAAGATATCAATTTTCTGACTTCAACATACCATTTATATGCCCATGTTAACATGGGCTAGTGTCGGCTCATATACCCNATGGTGAAGTCTTGATATCATCATTTATTTTTTTTTAATTTTCATACAAAATAAATTTCATAAAATCCCATTTGTTTGAAAATTAAAATAATTAAAATGAAGATATCAATTTTCTGACTTCAACATACCATTTATATGCCCATGTTAACATGGGCTAGTGTCGGCTCATATACCCATTTACCTAACACCCTGTATAGTAAATTCCATGAACATGTATCATGAGTAGTCTTAGTTTAAAAGGATGCCAACGATTTCAAAGGCTAGTTGCGTGTATGTAGCTGGCGCAATAGATAAAACATGACTTATGAAATAATGAAATCCGGGCAGCCCGCATGCGGACGAAATCCGCATCCCGAGAATCCGAAATCCGCATTGTAAGAAAAAGGCATTTATTAAGACAAAAATGTGCCAGAAACCTCAGCAATTTCAGACAATATGCCTGATTTGCAGGTGAGTGGGGTAAAGCGACAATTTGTGACGCACTGCGAAGTGATGGGATGTGGCTTTCGTGACACAAAAATTAATTGTGACATGTTTGTGTCTCAGACTGACTTGATAATGTAATAACAAAGCATTAAGAAATCAGCCATAAACATGAGATAAACAAATCAACGACGTTCTCTGAACGCGATTCCTGTATTTGTCAACGATCTTCTTGGTCGGGCACTCTTGTCAGAGTGGTCATGGTTGCGCTAACGAGGTACACGGTGGGGTGTCATCTCCGAGGGTAGCTCTCCTGGCGATGTGCTTCCATTTCTGTCAGTTAGAGGCGTCGCGAGTACACTGGACCAATGTGGACTCAGTAGGTAGCTTTTGTGACGGTGATAAGGTTAATTTATTTGTCAACGATAGGTAGCATCCTAACGTGTGGAATATTTTCAGTTGAGTTTCAGCTGATATTTTCGTTGCGTTGCATTTCGCACTACGTTGCATTACGTAAAACAATACCAAAAAACCTTTTCTAAATGTATACTTTGTAATCTCAAGCTTTTTCTTTATTCCCTTATCGTGTGCTATGATGACTAAACAACTCATGGGTCTTATGTCCAATCGTAGAATTCTATGACTCCACGGTCAGACAACGTTTTTATAGCCTTTACTGTGCGGAAGTTTTAACCTTAAAATATGCGAAATATTTCTGCAAATTTCTTCTTCTATATTTATTGTGGGTGAAAAATAATCTCAAAAACTCCTGAAAGAACAAGGCTCGAGCCCAATATTATATTTTATTGAAGGAAAATTTCGATACATAAGTAATTGGATGGTGTATTTTATTATTTTTTTATTTTTAGGCCTAACAATGCCCCAAATACAAAAATGAATATTTCATAATATCTCCCACATTGTGAGCAATTTAATCATTACAACGTACCAAACAAGCAGCGGGAAACGTTTAGGTGTGCGAATAATTTAATTAAACTTTCGAAATCTTGTAAGGCGTCCGAAATTTAGGGCACAATCCTCAAATTTCAGGTCAAGAGGTTTGTTAACTTAGGGTAAGAACTCACGGCAAGATTTTCACCCGCGCCCGCGGCGGTTGCGGGCCCGCAGCTTCTGTAGAATGCAGATACTTAAGTAAAAATTAATGCACAACTCATGAAGCGGTTTGCGCCCGCAGTGTGCGCGGTTGTATGCGGGTCCCGCTGCACAGCATTTGCGGTTTTCGCCCGCGCACTCTGCGATCGGTTGGCGGGCGACCATTTTGTGCCAGTGACTTAACTGTCCGTCTTGCAACCGCAAGTCTTGCAATTATCGCCCGCCACGTTTGCGGGCGATGATCGGCGGCTGCGTAACCGCGCAAATAACCGGTCCCGTGAGTTTTGAAATAAAACCGCAATTCCACAACCGCCGCGGGCGCGGGTGAATATCGCGCCATGAGTTCTTAGCCTTACATCTGCTTCGCGGTCGATGGTTGGGAGGCCACAGAGTTGCGGTTTACAAAGCATTTGCCACATTCTAAAGTGATAACTAGAGTCTGTATTAGACCAAGTAAACACTGTATTAAGAATAAACGTTTAAAATGAAATTCTGGCAATCACAGGTTTGACTTATGTTTGAGTTTGAATCTGGTTACGAGCTTCGTTTTAGGATTAGTGTGAAAAACTGAATTGCATAAAACATAAATTGCATATTACAAAACTGAGGTAAATTTGATTGCAAAATTGATGTTTAAGAGGTATTTTTAAAGAGAGTTAGATAATCCTGAAATGGTCGTACATAATAGCCTTTAAATTAAAGTGGCGTTGTAGTTCGCTTGCAGCACCACTACTAGTTTTTAAATATTTTAAAGAAGCGCAGTTGCAGCGCCATGCACTATCATAAGCGTTTGTTACCGTAGTACGCCTCTAATTTGAAGGCGCCCTAATGCAGAATTCTAAAAAAGTAGAGCTCTACGTTAGCCCATAAATGCACGAAACTATTTAAATCTCTGATTTTTATGTAATTTGGCATATTTAAAGTTTCTTTTATGGGCATCTCAAGAGAACTTGTACCTTTTGGTCGTTTTCGTACCTCTGGGCATATATGGGTTAGAACATCGTTATCAACTTATCATTGATCTTATTTTTGTATTTGCAGCCACGTTCTAAGTCTTAAGATTGTATATTTTTTCCTTATCACTTACTTCCAGATCTCATTCAACCTTCCCTTCCAGGTGTAGGCGGTCTCCGCGCCATAGAGTTGCGGATATCCCCGCCAGTCGTCCAGCGGGGGTCGGACGCAACTCTGGCGTGTCTGTACGAGCTGACGGACGCGCCTCTGTACTCCGTCAAATGGTACAGAGGGCGCCACGAGTTCTACAGATATTCGCCCACTGAGACGCCGGCGACTAAAATATTTCCCTTCGCCGGGATCAATGTTGATGTAAGTGAAACAGTAGTGAAATACTTTATACCAGCTAATTAAGTAAATAGTTTTAGAAAAATTTGGTAATCATAATATCACAAAAAATAGCTGCCACAGTACCAGTTGATAATACGACTAACGTGAACTAAGCAACCATTATCACATGTTCCACGCCCCATATACAAATTAACATTTGATTTCGCCCTGTCTACATCATTTCCTTTAAAGAATAGCTTCTGACTAATTAGGTAATCCGTGCGGACCACGTTGTACTATTATACAGGATACAAAGCCTTTAATAAGGGCTTATACAAATACTACTACTTAGGTATACAAAAATGAAATTGTGACCAAACCAAGCAAGGCCATTTTCTCCGAAAAATCCATTTTCCTAAATCAAAACCTTGCAAACTGCATCCGTAATAAAACTTATCTCCTTCCACTTCCAATTCACCGTTTCTCATTTGTAAAACACGAAACACTCATATTTCAAACGGCCCGAAGATGGATGTACGCACTTTGACAACTCCAATGAATTCCTACGTTCAACGAAACTCCGCATACAGAATGATTTGTCCCCGTTGAAATGTCGTAAACGACTGCTCGCGTCATGTAAATGCATAAAAGGGCGCTGCACACTGAAGGTAGCGGGAAAAGCTATATTTTTTAAGGGCTGGAACGACCAGACCAAAATTACTAGCTGTACCTACATACAGGATGTGGTTTTGTTAAACAACACCCATCTCAGAAGTGGTAGTATACACGACACTGATGCCAAAAAAAATATAAAAAAATACCTTATCATTGAAAAATCCATGACATCAGGAAAATTTTATTATTACGCGGACGAGCTATCGGTCAGTCCCCCCGCTCTCACGGGGCGGCGGCCGAATGTGCTCGGTGGTGTAGCGGGGTATGCGGGGGTGGTGCGAGCGGTGACAAGCACCGTCTCGAAAGTTTTAGGAGACGTTTGAACAAGGTTTCTTACTAATAAAGTAATAGTTAACATTTTATTTATATTTTTCTTGTAATTACTTTCATGTGTATCACCACCCCTGAGATGGGTGTTGTTTAACAAAACCACAACCTGTATGTAGGTACTTGTACTGTAGAGCTTAACTGAGTCAGTGCCTCAGTTATGGGAGTGGCAAGGGAGTGTTTTTGTGACGGTCAAACGTCAGCGAGACTTTAGATCGCCTTCAGATTTGTATGCTCTGTGACGTCATGATATGTCATTGTCTCCCTCTCGTACCGCTCCTACTCAAGCACTGATTGAGTTAAACGCTGTACCTATAATAAACTATTCACTCGCTCAACCTTATGTAAACGCTTCGAATTGCCAAACTGACACACATAGGGGACTACTTTCATTTGAAGACTTTCGCAAAACTTATCGCGTCTTCAGGTAGAGATGTCCAAAGTCATTTGGGAGTGTTAGCGAGAAACACTTATCGCACGGGAGTAATAGTTTCGAGAATCGTTTCCACGTTTATCGATATCTTTATATACCTTCGTGGTATCGATTTAATAGAGCCCCTATTTCATATAATCTACTACTTTGCTATATTGCATTAACTTAGGATTTTGTCTACACAAACTTAGGCTGGCTTGCACCATCTTACTTTAACTTTGACAAACGTCAAAAATCTGTGAATCTCCATACAAAAAAAAACAACGGTTATCGTTATAGTTACGGTCAAAGTAAGATGGTAAAACTCAGCCTTATTTTCACTTGAGGCCTGATTCATATTTTTCATAACTTCCATGTAGTATAAAAGTACCCTTTTGTCAAACATTTTAGCTGAAACTCAACACAGATTTATGTCATCGCATTCGCTTAGCTCCAGCTGCGTTTCATCCGCTGATTCGCTCCACACAATTTATTACAACTGATGTAAAATTCCTTGTTGCGGAAAATATTTTCAGCTAAAATAGAAAAAGAAAAATCCCCGGAGACCGAGCGAATGCTCCACGCTCGTCCGAATTGCTGAAACATGCCGTTATTTTTACCTGTTGATTTCGAGACAATGAACATTATGGGGACGAAATTTGAATAATGAACTGTGAAATTTAGTAGAACGCCCGTAATATGCCAGTCCTGATTTCATGACTGAGGACTTATGAAACTCTTGGAGATTTCTGAAGACGTTCCTATTTCTGTACGAGACTGTTGTTTTGAATTTCCCTTTATTGTTAATTTACTTCGAGTTGTTAGCTTTTAATTAAGTTCTCAGTTCGTGATAAATATTTACGACAAGTTTGCTCTTAAATTAAACAAGTCAAAGTGAAAGACAAACTATATGTATATTATACTATACCTGTATATTTTGTTTATTTTCTTAATTATTTCTAAGTTAATTAAGAATTATATGAGCATTCTTTAAAGCAAAATTTGTATATTTATACTTTGTTGTATGTTTATAAATATCAATACGAAGTCCTAAGTAATTTCAAAGTTATATGAAAGACGTCATGTATACTCGTAGACTGTTTTCACTCTTACAAATAAATTTTCTCCACCCGAATAATAATCAATGAACCGTCTGATATTTTTACATGATTTAGGTATATATGGACCTTTTGTTTTTGGGCCTTTTTTTCAAACCTATGTAGCCTATAAATAATTTAAGCCGCAATATAGCCACAGAATAATAATAAGTACTACGTACAGAAGTTTTACTTCGCGAAGGTATTTAAAAAAATCTATGCTCAATGTCATTAACAATATGGCGTAATTTAGCCTGTCAAGCACCATTTTGTTGACAAACGTCAGTGATCGGCACTACGCCGAAGCTATAGGGCCGACTTCGGTAAAATGATGTGACGTGAGGTGCCAAACTGCGGAAAATGGCGGAGGAAATAGATGATTTAGCATGAATTATCATGAATAATATTAACTACTTATTTACCTCTCAGTGTCTTGAGGCAACTTAAAAAAGTACATTCTGTGTTTTTATTATTATTTAGGCAGTTAAATACCGCACAGTATTTAGTACACCATTTTCTTTATTTTCTTCCATCATACACAAGAATACGCGTGCGTGAGTCAATGTTCGCTCGTATGTGAGGCCTTGTCGAATAGTATCCTGTAGGTGGGCCATCGTACGTGTTTTGTTTTCGATGTAAACTCGCGGAGATGAACAGGCCTGATATAGCTAAGAACGACACAATTCCCAACTAAAATCCGTGACCTTCCCAAAGGACGTTTATTGTCCGAAACTTAGCATCAACTGCCTCAAATTCACTCCCGGGTGCTATAGCAGTAAAAAGGCACAAAATGTGCCATAGTGTTATTATCACGGTAGTGTAAAGCAGTGGTTCCCAACCTGGTACGTGAAACACTGGTGGTCCACAGGGGTCTAAATATCTGGAAGGAATTTAAACTTCGCAAGCAAAGCACGTTCGAGTGTCAGGAGATGGTCTTAGTTCTAGATTTACCGAAATAGTATAGAAAAATGTTAGCTCAAAATCACATTCATTCATTGGTAATTATGTAATTGATTTGGTATTTAACAGTTTCGCTAGCTCTTTTATAATGCAAACAGCTAGGGACTGGAATTCACAGTCTGCTGCTGTCTTTCCCTTTATAAAACAGCATCTTCAAGACGAGAGTGAATAGGCACTAGAGGATGCACATCGTCAGGTTTGATTGAGGTCTAATACCTGCTTTGTGTTGCACAAAAAATAAGTTGCCTTCCATTGAAATAATATTTGAGAGGTTTTGTAATAAGTTTATTTTCGGAATCATTTAATAATATTTTTATATGACATGGTCCTTGCTAACAATGAAGAAATCAAAGTGGTCCATGGTCCAGAAAATGTTGGGAACCCCCGTGTGAGGGAGATAAAGAGTTGTATTTATGGACATATGGCGCTATGGTGACGGGGGGATCGTTGTTCTAAGGAAACGCGGCAACGTGAGGTGTTAGGTAACCATTTCTTAGCTTATCTTGTAATATCAAATAACATATTGAAGAAAAGCATTTATGTGGGATGCCATAAGATGAACAAGGTTTAAAATAAAATTAGTTTAGACTCAATTGATGTAGCTCCATACCTACCTCTACATAGAGCAAGTAAGTAGGTACTAATCTAAAAATTTAATAACAGAATACGTAGGCTGAGTTGCACCACCTTAATGTAACCGTAACAATGACCGGTGCTCTTTGTATGAAGTTTGACAGATTTTTGACGTTTGTCAAAGCTAAAGTAAAATGACGTGTGCAACTCGGTCTTAGTAAATAAAAATCTGTCGCATAATAATAATGTGAGAAAAACTTGAGAACGGTTGAAATAATGACTTTTTTCGAGTAGCTATCACGGTACCTAAGTTCTTATAAACAAATATTGGAAAAGTTTCCGAATACCATTTCATATTCGAGAATAATGGACCGTTCTTGTTCTACGAGGTGTGGATTTCTATATACAATGTGAGTCACGTTAAAGTGTACATATGAAAATAGATGAAACTAGACCTATTTTTATCGACAAAAAAGAGGTCAAAAAATTTTTGAGATTTTTTTTTAATTTTTTATAGAATTTTTTTTCTTCAAATTACTTATTGTAAAGAAAACGTAATAACTTTTAAACNAAAGAAAATGACACTCCTCGTTCCCGGGAGGATCAGCTAGCGCTGCATATAATGAAGCGCACGACGCGACTGCTTCATAAGTAGGTAATCATGAGGGCCGGTAGGAGACGAGNATTTTTCGTTTTACGAAGGTAATATGATAGAGAATAATAAAAAGTAATAAAAACTACCGGTTATAGGGGCATTTTTTGGAGAAATTTATCAAATAACCAAAAAAACACGAATTTTTAAGCGGATTTTTTTCAAAAAGTATATTTTTTTATTATTTGTTGGCCTTTTTTGTATATTTTATGTATTTTTTTAGTATTGCCTGTTATTTAGCATTATTACTGTTTTTATTTTATCAGGATATACCGCTTAGTTTAAAAGTTATTACGTTTTCTTTACAATAAGTAATTTGAAGAAAAAAAATTCTATAAAAAATTAAAAAAAAATCTCAAAAATTTTTTGACCTCTTTTTTGTCGATAAAACTAGGTCTAGTTTCATCTATTTTCATATGTACACTTTAACGTGACTCACACTGTATTTTTAAGGACAAGACGATAGGGTCGGCTAGTTACTCAGTCTTGAGATATATTATCTTTATTCCATCTCCAATAAATACAGGGTGATTTTGTAAGCGATGTCAAAATTTTTAGGAGCGACTCAGAATCAGTAACTTAATCGATTTATGTAAAACAACCAATTTTTTTTTCTTATTATTCTTATCCGCAGCACGCGGTTTCAAAATGGGCACACGAGGATAATTTACTTTGTTCATAGAAAAATACGTACACACAGTTAACTGCAAAGCTTAATAAACATAATAATGCGCGAAAATAAGCCTTAACCTTTAAAAATTAAGATATGGACGCCGCGAAATAGATTTTCAATAATTTTTTTCGCGAAAAATACCACGAATAGAAATAATTAAGATAAAGTTGTATTGTTAAAGTCCTAAGAGCTTATTAAATTGGATACTGATTGCAAAGTCACCCTATATAAATAAAATAATATCTACAGGGCTTAGTACCAGGGCAGATATTAAAGGCTGTTAGCACAGCTGGGTACTTACGTAAGTACACCCTCTTATAAAATGATGCGAAAATAAAACTGGAGCATCGGTTATTATTGCGGGTTGTGTGAAAGCAAAAGATAAAGAGTTGTATTTATGGACAGCCACCGCAGAGGTGACGGGGAAGGATCGCTTGTTCCAGTAAAAAGGGGGGAACTCGGAAAAACTCCGGAAAACTCGGGAAAAATTAAACTAGCGCACCGTCCTTTGAAACGTGGGAATTTCGCAATAATTCTTGTAACATGGGTACAGGCTTTAGTCAGTTCCTGTGTTTGATGTTTGTACTTTACTGGAACACTTTGTAGCTCATGAATCTGGGATTTTGATTTAGTAGGTCAAAAAAAAAAAAAAAAAAAAAAAAAAAAAAAAAGTATGTTAACTAATTAGGTTATGGCAGTGGTTTCGATCGCGTGAGTTTTAGTCTATAACGGAAAGTTTTTGCCAAACGCTACAATGCAGTATTATGTGGCGACTACATTATACTTAGCATCCGTGACGCATTATGCTTCATGTAATGTAAAAATATTAAAATACTGTCAAAACTGTATAATACAGTTCCTTATTCCGGGTCCACATCAGTCTTCCCTGTTCAACCTTCTTCTATAACCACCATTGAATTCAATCTTCGTCTATTCTTTACTCAGCTACCTCACCTATTGACGGTCTACGTATTGAAATACTTAGTCTTTGGTTTTATCTTAGCTCGTATAGGTATCTACTAACTTAGTTTCTCTTGTTCACAGTTGGCGCGGTCGAATCAAAGCCAAGTGGTGCTGACGAGGGTCAGTTTCGGGCTGTCGGGCAACTTCAGCTGCGAGGTCACGGCTGATGCACCCTCCTTCGCCACTTCCATCGTCTCCAATACGATGGAGGTTGTTGGTAAGGCCTAGTTTTGTTCATCATCATCATTTCAGCCATAGGACGTCCACTGCTGAACATAGGCCTCCCCTAATAGTTTTGTTCTAGCTCTACATATTTTAATTAAGCTGACGTCATGAGCATAATTATGGCTTAGGTTACCTTTAGATTAACTTTAGCTATAAAGAACAGCATGTATCCAATGGCCATCAAACAACATCTATTGCGTAAAAATAATGATCAAGATGCTCGGATGGCCAAAGACTGGAGTAAATACTGTGGGTAGGTAGTAAAAATGTTGCAAGATGTCACTTGTTCGCTGAAACATGAAGCATTTTATAGGAGTGACCTATGTCCAGCAGTGGCCCATAGATAATGATGAAATTCAACGATTTCAAACATTTCTTAATCCTTTGAAAGGTTTTATGGGAGAGAAGGTAATAATAATGAGATTCAAGGATCATAATTTAGTAGGTATTCTAAATTAGCAACATAATTTGTAGAGGCTGATATTAATTATAGCAATGAATAATTTACAGTTCTCTTGTGAAATGTTGGGGGAAGTCGGGAGATGTAATACTTTTCCTCTATCAAAGGAAGCCAGATCACTATACAAATAATTGGTCTGAATGGGTTTGAAGCGGAAGTCTCTGTTCAAACTCATTCATTTTACTAAAATGTGGCTGTACGATGCAACATGGTCGCCCAATGTTGATCAAGCTCCTTAAATAAAGATTAAAAAAAATATAGCAATGAAAAACGGCTGTAAACCTTCCAAAAACACGATAAATAAGTCAATACCAATCAGAATAAGTAACATAATTACCTGTCCCTCTCTAGTTCTGCCGCCGTCGTCGCCATCCATCCACACCAGCCAGCACCACTACACGCCGGGTGACGTCATGCGAGCCAACTGCTCGGCCGGACCCAGCCGGCCGCCGGCAGAGCTCGCGATATTCATCAATGACTTGCCTGTAAGTAGAAATGTTACAGTCAGTTATGGAAAAATCAGTCAAAAGTGATATTGACCAAGGGCATCAGTCAAAACCACTTTTGACTGATTTTTTGTTTTGATGTCATGTGTTCATGTCTTCTCATTGTATACATTCAACCTCACGGGTGGGACCTGGAGTCCTGAAATACAGGGCTGCCCTACATTAGGCTCCAGTCACACCATTCTATGTTCCTTCATATTCTAATTGTAACTTTAGATGTAATGTATAAACCCTATAAGGTGTGAAAATAAACAATTTATTTATTTATTTTCCAGTCAAAAGTGGTTTTGACTGATTATGAGTTTTGACTGCAACAGATGCATGGTTTTATTACTATTTCCAAAGTGAGGTTGGTGGCCCATGCGTGTTTATAGCGGGGGCGGGTGGGCCGCGAACACCTGAGAATGGTACCCCATATCATGGCATGTCAGGGGCCAGGACCCCCTCCCAGAAAAATGACCCTAGTGCGCCAATACTGTGGCCTAATTCTATGTGAGATAAACACGTCGTGATTTAAGTAAGGCAATGGTGGCCGGGCAGTAAGCAAATGGGTGACCGGAGATGTTTTCGAATATTTGCAAATTATGTAAGACCTAAGAGCTCCGTTTTTTGCAGGAACTGTTTTTGCACTTGCATTACATTTATGACTATGACTATGACTATGAAAGGCCACTAAATTTACTTACTTATTTAGAAGTCTCATAGCCTACAAATTACTAAAAAACATACTCGTACTTGCTGTTCTTAGGAACTGTTCCTCATTTTTTGACAAACCCAATAGTATGACTAAAATCGTAATAATAATATCAAACCAAGATAGACTGCTTTAAATGTTTACAGCTTCCACGTACGAGAAATGTTCGAGATACACGTACATTGGAAGCATTCCAAGCATCCCTGTAGATGCAATCTCGAGCCAGAATGCTATGCGATGTAGATAGTACGATGTATAATATCAACCAGCTCTGATAGTTTTGTAGAATAGTTCCGATAAACTTGAAATATGTATGTCGATAGAGGCATATTCCTGTCAAAAAATGATTATAATCGTTCAGTTTTCAGCTCGTGGATTTCCTTGGAGATCATATCTAAAGAAAAGCAATACCATGCGTCTCAAAAATCATCTATATTATAAAACTCAAAGGTGACTGACTGACTGACTGACATAGTGATCTATCAGCGCACAGCCCAAACCACTAGACCAGGGGTCGGCAACGTGCGGCTCGCGAGCCACATGCGGCTCTTTGGATGTGAGGCTGCGGCTCTTTAGTTCCATTCGCAAATATTATTTATTTTATAAAAAAAAAAATGTTCTGAAACGATTAACGAGGTTTAGGCATTCTCTCAGCTACTTATACTCGCTTTTCACCGCAGTAGTTTGCTCAATTGTTTGTTGTTGAAGTTCCTACAAGTTAGTGTTGTAAGTAAGTAAATGTTTAATTGTTTTCATTTTTATCTTATTAAGATAAGATAAGATAAGATAAGATAAGATAAGATAAGATAAGAAGCGTTTATTTGTCAGACAGAATACAGGTTATAAAGTTCTTACAAAATTTTTTTAGTTTAAGTTTTCAACCTGCATGCAGGTGTGCAAATACATTTTGTCAAGAATAAATAGATATTTTTCTTATGAATAAATAGATTACTTTTTTTATCAACAAACTTTATGAAAGTATAGAGGCTATTTATTGTTGGCAAGAAAAAATTTTGTGGCTCTTTAAAAACTTGAAATTTTGTAAATAGTAATTTTTGGCTCTTCCGACTCAAAAGGTTGCCGACCCCTGCACTAGACGGATCGGGTTGAAATTTGGCTTGCAGGTAGATGTAATGACGTAGGCATCCGCTAAGAAAGGATATTACGAAACTCCACTCCTAACGGGGTAAAACGAGGTCCACGCGTACGAAGTCGCGGGCGGCCGCTAGTTTTTATACAGGGTGTTAGGTAAATGGGTATATGAGCCGACACTAGCCCATGTTAATATTTACCTAACACCCTGTATAAACTTAACTAATCGTTTTCACTTTACCTAAACTTTTTTTGTATCTTTACAAATCAGCCGAAATCTTGTCCCGAAGTGGTAGTAGAGAACGCTACACTCAGCTCGTCACTTCATAAATCCACAGCTCCATTTTAAGTGTTCATAAATACCGTTATTTAGGTAAAGTCCTTCTCAAAAATCTTAACAAATTCAATGGAACTTGTTCATCACTAGAAGAGATAACATCAAAGCCATAAATATTTTTGATCCGTAAATAAAACCATCCCACTATTTTTTCCCGTTATTTTCATTAAATTAAACGTTGGGAAACTTACTTCATTGTTTGCATTATATTAATAAATAATGTCTTAAATTCTAAAGCAAAGAAGTCACATATTATACAGATAGTATTCGCGTTGGCTTGGCAAACTCGGTCTAACGTAAGCCTTACATGTAGGCTAGTTCACTCCACTGAGCTGGTATATTTGATTTACTGTCTCGGCTTCTAGATTGCCCCAAATCTATCCAACTTAAGACTGTGTTATGAAAAGTATTCTAATTTTCACGAAAATTCTAGATATTTTGATTCTGTAAATTGACGAGAAAAAGTTAATGATATCTGATTCTAAAAATAGCTAAACTTGAATGGAAATTTCTTTTATGAAGTAAAATTAATGAATACCAATTCATTCAGCTGGCATTCATTCATATTTTGTGCTGGTGATTTATGAAACTTTTTCTTAGTACATATTTAGAGTAAGATAGGTAGTAGGCGTAAGATCTTTCGGAGATCTTGGGTTCGATTTCGATGGGAAACAAGAATAGAAAAATCACACTGTAATTACCTAGGCCTTGTATTATTACCAGTTCAGTTAGGTAAGTCATTACACATTAATAGAATCAACATATTATGTCTGCTTTTTAAGAAGGAAGAAGAAATAGATCATAATACTATGAATAGGCACTTACAGGGCAGATATGTACCATCCTAGACTGCATCCCACTTAACACTAAGATGCGCGCTTCGATAAGCGGTTATCACGCCATTTTATCGATTTTGCCCATACATTTTGACGTCGATAAACGTTATCACGGCGCGCATCCTAGGCCTACTGGTGTAATTATGGTAAAATACCTTGGTAAAATCTTGAAATAATAACTTCAATATTATCTATCTTTACTACGATTTTTAATTTACTGACTGTAGTGTAAACCAAAAAAATATTCTCATTAATAGCGTGTGGTTTCGTAAAGTGAGTTTTGCAGCATTTCATCCACTTCAAGTCTATTAAGTTGTTCTTAGAACTAATAAGTTGCCAGCAACTTCATTAAAACTTCACGAGAAACCTTTAATAATCTTAGAGGCGGTGAGCAAAAATGCATTTAGAAATAGCAAAATTATGAAGCCATAAATTGAGTGTGCTCCGCGAAAATACAATTTTACTGATTTTGTGTTAATTTTTTAGGTTTCATACCTCAAGAAGTGTCCGTCTGTAAAAAAAAATTGGAGGAATACTGTGAGATATTTATTTGATGCAAATAGGGCTAGTTTTACTGATTCTTAAAAGTTTCAGATATAGTTATCCGATAAATTACCTACAACAAAACGTTATTTAGAAGTCAATTTTTTTTTATTGAAATGTGGTCTTGATTACTGTAAACAAAACATAAAACGATCAAATACTTTCCCAAATACCGTTATTTTTGTAGCTTTTTAATAATTACTTCATCCCCTAACAAACTATTATTTGCTTCAAAACTCTACCTAACTCTACCATAATTTTCTATTCTCAATCACAACAAGGAAGTACGTCAAAGCCCCAGATGTTAACACGTTTGATGCGGTAACTAAATGTTCGATCGATTTGCCATACTCAGTTTCAGATTTCGCATGATTGCTTTAAGATGAAAGTGAATTTACGCACACAGAGCTATAGGTTAATATTTGTGCGTATAGAAATTACACCATGTATTTTAGAAGCGTTCGAAAACGTCTGAGATTCGTGCAAGCAATAATGCGTAATCGAATTCGTTGATTGATTGTTGAATTGGTGATATTAGAATCACTCCAAAGACAAACTTTGTCCGTAGAGTTCAATACCAACACCAATACGAGTATCAGTTTTATAGCCAAAATAAGAAGTTCTATCTTTTTCTTTTTTGCCCTTTCTTTGGGGACGACTCTTCTCGTTCTGAGGCGCTAAGATAATAATATCGTACCTACCCACATTTTTTAAAGATTATTAGTAATTTGTTATTACACAAAATTACTAATAGTCCCGTTAGCCCCTCGTACTAAGCTAAATATGCTTGTATCACGAGTGAACTCACCACAACAGTCGAGCGGCGGAGGCGCGTTCCCCGGATCACGAGTCGGCCAGTCCGACCCCTTCACCGTTAGGATATCGTGGCTTCATTTTACCCTAGTTGAGACAGATACCTATTTGATAAAGCTTATTTAAACTACGTAAGATGCCACAGTGTTTACGTTGACGTGCTGTCGACTGTACATCGTATATTATTACCTGTACTCTTTTTAAGGCGTTATACATTTTGTCAAGTCCTTATTTCTTGTAGGCTGATTCCCTTTACTCAGGATAATTTAGGCCTTTAAAGAGCAGACGTGTCCTAACTCAGAACGGATCCAAATTATTTCTTTTACAGAACTATTCAAGCGAAGTGATTTTCCGCTATATGTGCCAGATATCTAAAAGGTTCATCCTTATATACGAGTAGATATGTCACTCACTGCCCTACCCAGTTTCAGTTGGGAGCTCAATTCTCCAGATTGTCGTTCTCAATTCTCAATTCTCCAGATTCTCCAGATTGTAGGTCCAATTTCGAGAAGGAGGTCAATCGTCGAATCCAACTCGGCTGGGCAGCGTTCGGGAAACTACGCAACATCTTTTCGTCCAAAATACCTCAATGCCTGAAGACTAGAGTGTATAACCAATGTGTGTTACCAGTGATAACTTATGGCTCGGAAACGTGGCCTCTCACTATAGGCCTTATACAGAAGCTCAAAGTTGCACAGCGTGCTATGGAGAGGGCTATGCTTGGTGTTTCTTTGCGAGATCGAATCAGAAATGAGGAGATCCGTAAACGAACCAAAGTCGCTGACATAGCCCGACGGATTAGCAAGCTGAAGTGGCAATGGGCAGGGCACATAGTACGCAGAACTGACGGCCGATGGGGCAGAAAGGTTCTGGAATGGAGGCCGCGTACCGGAAAACGCAGCGTGGGACGTCCACCTACAAGGTGGACCGACGACATCGTAAAGGTAGCAGGGAAGCGCTGGACGCAGGCCGCTACCAATCGATCAACATGGAAAGCATTGGGGGAGGCCTATGTTCAGCAGTGGACGTCCTGGGCGATTCCACTGCAGCGAGGCGTTAGGCAGGGAGATGTTATATCTCCGAAACTGTTCACCGCTGCATTGGAAGACGCTTTCAAACTCCTGGAATGGAAAGGATTCGGCATAAACATTAATGGCGAGTACATCACTCACCTTCGGTTTGCCGACGATATTGTGGTCATGGCAGAATCGTTGGAAGATCTTGGCACAATGCTCGAAGACCTTAATCGAGTTTCCCAACAGGTAGGCCTGAGGATGAACATGGACAAAACGAAGCTTATGTCGAATGTCCATGTTACGCCCTACCCAGTTTCAGTTGGGAGCTCAATTCTCGAGATTGTCGACAAGTATGTCTACCTCGGACAAACGATCCAGCTAGGTAGGTCCAATTTCGAGAAGGAGGTCAATCGTCGAATCCAACTCGGCTGGGCAGCGTTCGGGAAACTACGCAACATCTTTTCGTCCAAAATACCTCAATGCCTGAAGACTAGAGTGTATAACCAATGTGTGTTACCAGTGATAACTTATGGCTCGGAAACGTGGCCTCTCACTATAGGCCTTATACAGAAGCTCAAAGTTGCACAGCGTGCTATGGAGAGGGCTATGCTTGGTGTTTCTTTGCGAGATCGAATCAGAAATGAGGAGATCCGTAAACGAACCAAAGTCGCTGACATAGCCCGACGGATTAGCAAGCTGAAGTGGCAATGGGCAGGGCACATAGTACGCAGAACTGACGGCCGATGGGGCAGAAAGGTTCTGGAATGGAGGCCGCGTACCGGAAAACGCAGCGTGGGACGTCCACCTACAAGGTGGACCGACGACATCGTAAAGGTAGCAGGGAAGCGCTGGACGCAGACCGCTGCCAATCGATCAACATGGAAAGCATTGGGGGAGGCCTATGTTCAGCAGTGGACGTCTTATGGCTGAAATGATGAAAAAAAATGATGATGTCACTCATAGCCGCCAACTTATACCTTTTAAAATATCGACTTGTAGTTAAAATTATATAAATAGGTATAACAGATTTATTATTTATAGTGTGGAAATAACTCGACTTTCATAACAAAAACACCTGCAGCGAAACATTCATTTTGCTTTTGAACAATACAAACTCAAACCATCTCAAAACTCGGTAATGCAATTAATTTCGTCTGCAAACTCAGTGATACTGAATTTAAATTAATTAACACATCAGGATTTACCTGTGCAAATTAGTTTAACTTAATTTATTTCTATCAACAGACTTGTTCGGCTAACTTACAGCTAACTTTAGATTTAAATACTTTATTAACATGCGAGAAAGCAAACTCCAGTTGGGAATTGGAATAAACCTAGTTCCAACTGGAATTCTATAGTGGCAAGTTTTAATGCCTCCAAAGCCTTCCTTTCTGTGGATATTGCTATGCTTTAGTTTTGTTTGGAACTCGGTCTTAGTATTGTACTAGTTGGATTTTAAATAAACTGTCCCCGGTTTATGTGGCTGCAAAACTATTAAATCTGACTTGTTTGAGAATGCAAAGACTGCCAGTTTTGTAAACTACACCGCTGTAGACTATACTCGTAGTTGCTGTTGTTCGCTGTCATTTGGTTTCTTTTTCTTCTTCTCTTTTTATGGTGTAGGTCACAATCTTATTGTCCAGCTAATGTGCCACTAATGACGTTTGAATAACTTAGTATTTTGTGCATTCCATAACAACGTAAAGACCGTTTGCACCGTTTTGATCACTAATTGACTTACTAACTAAGCAAATTATATTTGTATTGTTTACCATAAATCACACCAACCGTTTTCATTTCATCTTATTTCAAGCTGGTTCTCTCACGTTACGGCCATTTTTACTACCTACATCTTTACCCTTGGACATAAAGTACCTATCATACTCCTTTTGCCCAAAGAGACTTAATCCATAATATGTACATACTTACAAAATATATTTTTTTTTTTTTTTATTTATTTAATAACAATCTTAGCTCTAACATTACAGGTTACCCCAATGCGATAGAGTAGATTAATTAGTACATATTTAACAATTAAGATTGCCGCTATGGCTATAACATAAAATAAATAATGTAACCTTTGTGAATTCAGTCAAAGAACAGCTGAATATGTCAACGGTTCTAGCTACTACATTAAGTGTACGCAACGTTCTGGTAATTGGCGCCTCTTTTAGCATATTGGTTCTTGCATTCGGAATTGCGAATAGAGGAGGCTGCCGGCGCCGCCATACGTACCGGTCCGGCACACAAAGCGTCATCGACTGCAGTACGACCTGGTTGCATACCCGCCCCCGTACTAATTTGAACATATACGTAGCCAGGCTTAGATCCCGTCTAACTTCTAGTTTGTTGTACCCCACCATCCCGAGTACAAATAAAGTTGGATACATGAGTGGATAGAACGGATATACGCCATACAATTTCAGATATAAAAATCTGGTAAACTTGTTTTGAATCCGTTCTATCATAGTCTTATATTTAGCCTCATGGGGTGACCAGACGAATGCATTGCATTCCAGGTGGCTCTTTACTAGTGCTTCGTACAAAGTTCTCACTGCATTCAGATTAGGAAGAGGTGCAGCAACCGCAGTTAAGGAACGGCTGGGATGAACAAGGATAAGCGAATCAAACTCGTGAGCCTTGTTAGGGTTACACTGATTAAGGCGACCCTTTACAAGGCTTGGAAGCATGTGGGTAACAAGCCATTGGACGTGGAGAGGGTCATTAATTATACGTATATTTTCTACTTTGCCGAACTTTAGCGCGAGAACGGTTTGTCCAAAACATATGAATTTGGTCTTATTCAATGCAGGATTAAGTGCCCTTTAACCGTCATGAAGACCACTTTTCGATAGGGTAAGTCCTTTACGCGGTATAACCGGAAAACCGAAAAAACGCCGCTTTCGGGGGCCCCCACCACTTAAGCACAACTCCGTCGAAGTCGAAAACTTAGGAGAGTCTTAATGGGCAACCAATGAAGCCACTAAAGCAAAAAAATCTTTTGTAGGAATTATTTCCGATTTAATCAATTTTTGTGTTTAATTCTACTGGCCTACAAAGAAGATTGAGGAATCAGCCTTATGAAACTAACCCAAAGTTTTCCCACAGGTAACCCCAGGCATGTACCAGGTGCATCCAGCATCTGAAGGGCTATTCAGGTCCGAACTGTACGTGCAAGTGCAGCTATGGCCAGCCCACTACGAGCGGGGCGCGCCTATACTCCGGTGCGAGGCCAAAGTCACGGACTTGTATAGAGACGACTCGGCCGTCGCGCTGTATTCGGCCAACAGTGATCCGAAGATTGAGAGAGGTTGGTATCGTTGTTTTCTATACATTTTCTTTCCACTAGTGTACAATAAATTGAAGAATAAAAGGCTGCAGTGCGGGAGAAATGGCGACGGATTGTGAAGCTTTTTTTTAAATATTAGTCATAAGTCTAGTTTAATCTATGCTAGTTTGCTTGCCACCAAACCAGAGGGGACGACCACGACCACTCTGCCAAGAGTGTAGCGATGACGAAGAGAAGAGTGTATCTCACATACATTTTTTCACATCACAAACCAAANGCAAGTGCTGGAAGTTTCTCGCTAATGTCTACGAGAAAACTTGTAGTCTCCATAATTAATTATAGACATTTATGTACAAGGTTTTAAATATATACCTAAAAAAGAAAAAATAAAGAGTGGTTAGCCCGTTAACCCTTTCACGCATATGGGACACATTTGTCCCCGCATAGTTTTTACGATTTACAGTAATACTAGTTAAGTTAAACCCTTTGTAGTTTAATATTCTTAAATTTTATTATTATCTTTTATGATTATACGCTATAAATAATGAAAAACGCGATTCCTTGTGTAAAAAAATACTGGCACAAAATGTGAAAAAAAAATTCGTTAGACGTCAAAATTAAAAAATATTTTAATATTACTTAGCGGCTGTTTGGCCATTATTTTTCTTCCGATTTGCATTCACTAATAAGTATAATTATCGTTTTATTACATATTTTCCATTTTCTTCGTATTTATAATGAATATTATGTAAAAATCTGTATTGGGACACGGGTGTCCCTATGTGCGTCAAAGGCAACTTGGTTCTTACTAAGGATATTGTTTGCCTCGTTATAATTTGTATGTTTATATTGATGTTTTATTTATAATTCATACATATTTTTTGTAAATAATTTGTCTTCAAATCGACTTGAAGAAATTTCGCTCAGGAAAGACGAATTTTAGAAGTCATGATGACTGAAAATAGTGATAACGAGGATGGTTTCCTCCCTGATGAAAGGGTGTCTACTGCTGGACAGAGGCTTCCCTGAGGATTTTCACAACAATCGTTCCTGTGCTGCTCGTATACATGAATGTACATGAGCAGCACAGGAACATGAGGCCTGCCACACTGCGTCTTCCTATACGTGGGCGCCACTCGAGAAATGTTCTGCCCAAACGGCCATCACTTCTGCGAGCTATGTGCCCTGCCCATTGCCGCGAAAGTTTGGTAATTATGCGAGCTATGTCTGTTACTTTGAGTCTCCTGCGGACTTCCTCATCACCCTTTGGGTGACATTGAGCCTTTTCATAAGGCCCATAGAAAAGGAACACGTCTCCGTTCCGTGCGTCATCGCTGCCAAGCCAACACACATTGGTCAAACACTTTCAGTCAAAGGTCTTGAGACACTGCGGTATTTTGGGTAAAAAGATGTCGCGAAGCCTCTCGGATGTTGTCCCCCCAAGTAAGATTCAACGATTGTAGTCACGGCATGGCTGAGACCTTGGAAGACCTAGAATCAATGCTCTATGGCCTCAGTAAAGGCTTTCAATAAATGGGATTCAAAATAAACATGGACAACACGAAATAATTATGTCAAATATCCGTGTTACACGCACTCCTCTGCACGCTGGAGACTCTACACTCAAAGTTGTTCTTGAAACAAACAGTTTAGTTAGGTAGGTCTAACTTCAAGAAAGAGGTCTATGATGAGATGAGGATCAAATATAAAAATACGTAAGATATGATGCTATCTATTTTAAATTTCTTATTATAAATATTAAAAATAAGCTTATTGATTAATTTTGATGTGCATTTTTAGTGTGATTTGTATTTATTTTGCAATAAAAGCGTCGAAGTATTTTATTTTCAATATATGAGGGAATGTATACCTTAACGCATATAGGGACATATGTGTCCCCGACTGAAAAACACTGAAATACATAGCACTTATATTTTCTGTACTACTTTTATGTTAAATTAGACTAAAATAAATAGATATAACTAAAGAAAAAAGAATTTTATGGTTTGGAATAGTTATAAGCGTGTAAGGGTTAATTTGAAAGCTGACATAATAATTATTCCTAAGACTATCTTTGAATATACTAGAAGGATACAATCTTTAAGTTGCTGGATAATTGATAACCACTACGATTGGTGCGCTAACAGACATCAAAACGAATTATGATCAATAAATTCGAAGAACTAATAACTCGTGGATACTATTCCCCACCAAAAGCTCCTGACCGACCTTCTTCTTCTTCTTGTCGTGTCGACAACAAAACTACACAGTAACAGCCCAAAACTCCGCTACAAGAGTGGCGTTGTCAGTAGCCTTCATTAAACTTCCCGTATGCACCTGAACAGATTGTCCTTACTATGGCCTACCTGCGTCCGAAAAACTTCCAGGTCAGCCAGGGGAGCTCATGTCCAGGTGGAAGACTCTCAGACATATGGACAAAAGGGCAGGGAGGATCAGCTCCCTGGCGGCATAACCTACATCTTTCTTTTGACCGATCGTCATGAAGGAGAGGGGACACACTTTTTACAAAATTGCTTCGGCTTTTCAGCCTTTTATTTAAACCTTTTAAAAAGCTCACTACAAATTTGACCATTGTTCAAACATGAATTCACTCAGAATTTCATAACGCTTCTATGATTTTACCCACCCATCCCATACCCGTAGTTTAAAGGAAAATTTCGCTAACCCACTTTCATTGTGGGCAGCATATTGTCTATTAACTATGATAACCAGCGAAAAGCTTCCGAAATTGAAATTTCCTGCATTTTAAAAGCTAATGTGGTTTCTGAAGTCAACTCGGCGTTCCGATGAACTTTACGGACAGAGACGAGAACCTAAACAACTTTATTAACGTTCTATAACATAAAATGTGTTTACTCGAAATATTTGCTTGTCCTTTTACGGGTCCACAAATTTGGAAACATACGGAATCTTGTTTTATGAAAAGCGTCTTAGGAAACGCGAGTTAAGCTGCAGATGACAACATGGTTGAATGGGAAATTATTTCCCATTCAACTGCTTTCATTGAGACTGAAACAGAATGCCTTTATGTCTCTTAAAGTTGCAATAACATGGGACGCTTGTGTTGACCATTAGGCTCTCTATATTACTTTTATTATTTAGCTTTTGTACGTTGGATAAACTATGTTGGCAATAAATTTTAATCGCAACAAATGAATAGGTACCAAACAAGTTATTTTACGGTGATTTCTGTCAAAAAAGAGTCTGTGTGTTTCCAATGAAGCCAGCGGATAAAATTTTGGGGCAGAAATGTTTGTATTCTACTGTTTATATTTCTAATTTTCTCAAAGAGCGTGGGCGAATCCAAAGGTCCAAATAGTACACTAAATGTACATACAGTAAGCTCAGTACATACGAGATCCTATAGGCTTTGTCAACCAGTAGGGAAACTATTGAATATTGATCGGTTACTCAATACTCAATAGTTTATTGCGTTTGTGGCGATGCATTCGAACTCCACGCTACGCTATGGTGTAGAAGTAGATTATCCAGAAAATGTCTATAATTACACTAAAAGTATCTTATCTATACTATATAAGTTATATTATAAATGCGAAAGTAACTCTGTCTGTCTGTCTGTCTCTCTTTCACGCCTAAACTGAACCGATTTTAATGAAATTTGGCATAGAGATAGTTTGAGTCCCGGAAAAGGACATAGTATAGTTTTTATCCCAGTTTTTGAAACCGGGACGCGCGCGATTAAGTTTTTCTGTGACAGATAAAATTCAACGCGGACGAAGCCGCGGGCGAAAAGCTAGTATATCATATAACTAACGATACCAACGACGACACTCTATTTACGGACGACAGCATATGTGTGACTACATTGTTGCAAAATTGCATCTACTACAATCAGATCAAGAATCCACAGTATTTCTTGAATCTTGGCGTAGGTACTGTCATCTTCCGTCCTGCCACGTGTGTCGCGGCGGTGCGGAGGACACGGCGCACCATACCCTTGCGGTATGTGCGGCGTGGGCTCCGCAGCGCAATACGCTTATCGCGGCGGTAGGCCGGGACCTTGTACTGCCCAGTATATTCAAAGCTATGCTGGACAGCAACGAGGCCTGGGTAGCAATGGCCTCCTTCTGTGAAGACGTGATGTCTCAGTAGGAAGCCGCGGAGCGAGAGCGCGAGGATGATCCAAAGCGGAGGACAATATGATCGCCTCCAGTTTCCTCTCCTCGGTAATGGCCAGCGGGCCGGAGGCGTGAGGGCGCCCCCGCCTGCATTGCACAGGCCACCACCACCGTCGGACGGGAACAGCTGTGTGCTTCCAGCTGCTCCTGTCGCCCCCCGTCCTAGGGTTGTGGTAGAGAAGTCTTTGTCCGGAAACCCACATTTTCCCCCACTTAAGGCGAGTGACGGAGCACCGGGGTCTTTTAGTGGGTATAGAATAGAATACCTTTATTCAGTATTAACATTTATATGCATACATGTACAGAGGTTAAATTAATGACCATGCTGAAAAGGCGCCCGCTCAGCGAAAATCGTGACATGACACAAGTGGTCAAGTCACGAAGCTGGTTTTCAGCGGGTACCAACATGGGGGTTACTATTCGGTATACCTCGTTCTTCTGACTTGGTGAGCCCCACATAATCTACCCTGCCCCGCAGGGTAGGTATGCGATTCAACGCATTTTTTCTCCTTAAAAAAAGGTACTGTAATCTTATCTGTACCATCACAATATTAATAATATCAACCCAGTTGACAGCTACGTTCATTGATCTTTCTCTATAAGCGTTTTTCCATCCAAAAACTGTTTCAATGAAAATCAAAGTAAAATAAAACGGGCAGATACCTATACAACCAGCTTCTTTAGTATTAACGAAGGTATTCCAGTAGACACTTCATAAATAATATTCGGGAATCAAACCTTCATTTAACAAAGCAAGACTCTCGGTATTGTTTCTGAGAACCGCCCACGTTTTCTTTGATTGCTACCTCCGTTGTTTAGTAAGGTATTTTCTTAGAAAAAATTGCTGGAATAACAAGCGTT